CATTTTTTCTCATTAATAATTATTGTTATAATGACATTTTTTGTAAATTAGTATCAAGTAGATCAACCTGATTAATACACAAATTAGCAAATCATTTGTAGATCATTTTATTAGTCTTCTCCATTATGTTGCTGTATTATTTTAAGGAATGATCAGCTGTAAAAGTGCTCTTACTGGAGTTAGTGTATCTGATGCATACATAACGTCCATTTCAACTTCCTGATAGGTACACTTTGGAACTTGCTTGGCAGTCGAAACAGCCACCTCTGATTGGCTGGAAAAGAAAATAATCAGGGTCAAAAAATAAAATATCACAACAAATTGAAATAAATGTATTGTTAATATCAAGTGGTATCCTTAAGGTTATAAGCATTATGAAAAAATATATATTACTTTTTATATTCTCTATTCAACCAAGAAATAATATTAAAAATGGCATTAACTTTGTAGGTTTTTTGTGTCTAAGAAGACATTAATATACTAGTAATAGCCAAAGGTTATGGAGTGCGGGTGACAATGGTTGAAGGCCAAAATGCTTTTGCTCCAATGCTGTACTCTGTGCAAGTTTCACGTGATAAAAGGTCAAAACACGTGTGATTAAATTGTGTTCAGTGCATTCCATTCATTTGTAGTGGAAGTGCAAACTAATGCTGGCTACATACATGTGACACATGCGCAATAACAACCCGGAGATTAGGATTGTGGCCTCCTCTTGTTGCCCGCAACTATAAAAATAGCAAAGATTTTAATATAATTTGCGATAAAACTAAAAGGTACACAGTAAAGGCCTTTGCCTAATGCTAAGAAATCTCGGTAAATAATTTGTAAAATTCAGGCCTGCATGTTCAGGGTTTTTTTTATCATAATGGTATAACCATTTTTGTTTCATCACCTCACCTAGTGTCTCCTTGAGGGACTCTCCTACGGGGATGAACTCTGCAAACATAATCACAAAGATTTTGCACAACAACAGTCTGGTAATAGAGAGGAAAAGTATGACATCACATTACCACGGTACCAAAATTTTGGATCACAACAAAAGGGACGTTAAGCAACAACAATGGTGACAGCAATGAGAAGGACAAAAGCGATAAGTTTACATAGCAAAACATCAACTTTGTATCACGCTTTTTCTCCATTTCTTAGCCGTCATTGCACAACTGATGTGAAACTTCCTAATTTCATGCACCCACTTTATAAAGAAGGTGAACGCAACACAATTTTCTTTTCTTTTTCTAAACTTAAATATGGTCCTTTTGGATTTAACCCCAGCAAATTTAGCCAACATTTGACAAATTAATTGAACCTGAATAAGATTGATAAGCCAGAAACAGTGCAAAGTCACTTTGTAAGTGACTTTTTTGGGTTTGTTGTCATCCAGAAATTTTGCTACCATGGCAATGTGACGTTAAGGACTTCTCTCTATTATGTAGTACTCTAGTACAAGTATCTCAAATTTCACCATTTTTGTCAAGTCAGCCATGCCAAATATGGTGGTTCAGTTCACAAATATTAAAACTAAAACAAGGAAAAAAAAACACACGAACAGTGGATAGGTAGCTGGGCAGGTCAGGCAACAGCAGATGGCATTAAAAACAACTGTATGTACACTTGAACCCATACTCCGAGCCATGAGTGAAAAAGACATTTCTACTTCATTCGCTCCTCAGCCAGCAGAAAACCACACATCGTTACAGAAGTACAAGAATTTATTCCTACTGTCTTACCCTTTCCGTTTTGGTGATTGCAAGTGTATCTCATTTTCACGGGAATTAGAGTCAGATAAACTATGTTCTTTCTCAGCTGACACTTCTTGATCATTGCTACTTTCATCATTGATTACTATAACAGGAGTTCTCTCAGGGCTAGAATAGCCTGCATCACCAAAATCCCCATCATCCATTGGAATATCAATCACGCTTTCCACTGCATCTTCATTACTAGACTTCTCATTGGTGGTGTGACTGTGTCCAACACCAGTATCTCTACCTGGGCTACCTGTGATTTGTCCTTCATTTTCTGTTACAGGTCCCCCAGTAGTTGGGATTTCTATAACAGGAGCCACATCTGCCACAGGAACCCCAACAGGCTGATAATTGATTGAAGTCTGCCGTACATTTGAGTCCTTATTGAGAGCAGATTGAACCCTACTACTTGTTCCAGTTGTAGAATTGGAACACAGAAGATTTCTAGTACGACCATTTGATGATGACTGATTGTTTGATGATACAACTTTGGGGAGTCTTGGTAAAGGCAACTTTTCAGTTGCACTACTTGGTGCTACAGGTCCCTGGAGAGTGGAAGTTCTTATCACTTGGTTCTTTTGAAATGTGTTTCTCCTTAAAAGATCAGTGTTAAGACGTCTTGTACGTGCTACAAGCATGAACAGAACATAAATGGTGAATTAAATAAGTAACAGAATTTATAAGAGAGAAAATCATCCTACATGTGGGTATTCAGTGGTGGTTTTGTGGTAATGGAGGGAATGGTAGTTTTTTTGATTAAAAAGGGAGGGCCTAAAAATTTCATACAACTTGAAAAAGGAGTTTCTACCATATTTACATGTACCAATGGCCCTCTAAGTATCCCAACTAACCATATAAAGACAAATTCTGGACTAAATTGAATTTTTGATGAGAAGGGAAAACTGAAGCACCCAGAAAAAACCCTCATGGAGCAGAGAAGAGAATTAAAAGCAAATCAGTCCACATAATTATGGCATTAATTGACGACATTATCCATAGTCATGCTTTTATACTCATTTTATGGGCGAATCTTTGCTGACATCATTGTTTACATTTTTGCTCACTATCATATGAGTAAACCC